GTATATTCAAACTTATCAAAATACAGATTTAGTTGCTGATAAAGACTAAACTTTATGTACAACTAAGTATCTTAATATACTTCAGCCATTAGGTATACTATTTCACGAATTACAATTAAAGGTTAGAGCTCCTGTTATACTATTGCAAAATATCAATCTAGTAATGGGATTGTGTAATGGTACTTGCTTAAAAATTACATGTATTTTAAATTATAAGATTGAAGGGATGACATTTAGTAATTCTACAATACCTATTTCTCTTAAATATTGCCAATTTAGGTTAATTAATAGTAGTCATATTGATTAGCAAGAAACAAGGTACCCGGATTATGATTCCATGAATCAAGATTTCATCATAGGCCTCAAATGATATCTCATTGAATTTTATTCAACTACAGTTTCCTATTTGTCTTGCCTATTCATTGACAATGAATAAGGCTCATGGTCAATTATTACAACATGTTGGAAGTAATGTAAGAGAGGAGGTTTTCAGTCATGGGCAATTTTATGTTGCTATGTCACAGGCAACCAGTAGGAGTCTGGTTAAAGTACTACTACCAGCATTGTCATGAAGATAGCTTAGCATAGAAAAGGTTTTTACATAACTCATGATTTTGAGTTATCAGTATGTTATTATTTCGCACATATGATTCATTTCAGTTATATGACTTATTAAGTTATAATTTATTTTGTTTCACACATGACTCAATTATGAGTCATAGGACATGCACTGGCAAGTGTACCTTGCAAAAGTGCCTTGTAGCTATGCCTTACGCATAAGATTTTTATTTCACACATGACCTTACTTTGAGGTCACGGGTTTTATACCTGTAACTACTTGATATCTGTTAGGCTAAGACAACTTGATAGACTTCAAGGTTGTCTAGGCCAATCGAGATTCGTTTCTGTAGATGGAGATTGTCTAGGAAGGCTCGGACTTTACACGTTTTGTTTATAACTACTAGGAGCGAAGTAAAATAGGTAAAGTTGGGTAGAATCATAAAAACAATATTATATTGTTAAGGTCTCTTCTCCGTTGCTTGATGATGTTTAAAGCTTGGGAGGCACTTTGATATTTATATTCCACGTCTGAGTGTTCACGGACTACATCGATTTATCATACAACTATGTACTTCTTCAATCATAATTTTGCGACGTCAAGCATTCTTCCAAGGTGCAAACAACTGTGGACATTGAAAACCATCACACCCTCTTCGGTAATTACAATATTTCTTCTTAGGAAACGTGCTGTCCCCAATAGTAATATCCCGATTAGCAGAGTCTTTAGACTTATGACCTAGTTCTTAAGTCGAACTGAGTTGGCTCCAATTGTCTTCGCCATTGATAAAATGATCAGTTTTATTCTTGGCTATATCTGCAAAAGTGGTCATCATTACAACCATCGTAGGTCATCTGACTTCGATCCTTTGTAACTCCATACTCAACTGATAGATTTTCTCTGGATGACTTTCTATTACATCGCAGGAAGCTATTCTACCAGATTGGTAATTAATTCCTTGGTTGGCAACCCTTGGTTGCTCTCTGGTTAGTAGGTTTCAGTAACCATTGTAGTATTAGGAATCACCCCATGGCTACAACATGTTCCGAAACCCAGTTGCAACACTCCGTAAAGTTTGTTGGCTTCTTTGGTAGTGTCTTTTAGAGTTCTAGACTCTTCTGGCGGATGCAAATATATTGGTCTCTAGTAGAGATCCTTTACCATTTGATACCATATCTTTATGCGACATCGTCCTGTTACTTACAGCCTATACCAAAGGTGTCATGTCTTTGAAGCCAAGTAACTCTCTGAGTAGTTGATGGAATTACTCCATTCTACTTTCCAGACCTAGCCGAAGGTCCCCTCTCATATACCCTGTGAATAGGATCCGGTCGAACAGACGGCGACAACGTATATGGTGTTATTCTAACTCCTTTATTTCTGTGGTAATATAGTCACAGGATGCAACTGAGATTAATATATATGATGATGTGTGGGCCCTGTAAGGGAGCCAGAGGGGGGTGTTGGAGACCAGAGATTCCGATTCCAAGTGGGGTTACCCTACTTAGGGTGGTTCCTAGGTATCGGGTTCTGGTATTCCTAACAATGTTATGTGACTTGTTCCTTGCATTATGATTGGTTTACGAGTGTTGGCATATAACCTTACTATGAGATTATGGGATTTGAGCATGTAACCACTTTGGGTCACATGATTTGGGGTGGGAAGAGCACTATATAAGGAGGCCAGTATGGCTGAGGAGGATAGGCTCTTCATGCTTTGTTTTAAGTACTTTTCCTACTTATTACTTTACCGAATGAAAACACCTCTATATTTTTTATCATTATTACAACCTCAATTGCTATTATGACAAGAATACTCTTCATAAAGAAGTGTTAGAGAAAGCTTATGATAGGTGTTTTCGATAGAAGACAGAGGTCTTATACTGTCGATAGTGTAGACATAGGCCTAGAACTAATGCAAGGTAAAACAAGGAGAAAGAAAGAACAGAAGTATCGTTCCCCATCGCTAAGAACTAACTATCCAAAGGGGAATCATTATAAGCATTCATTTGTAGTACAGAAGAGATGTGTAAAAATGTCATATTCTCTGAAGTTTTTGAGTAATTATTTGTATACTATTTTTTGTATAAAATTAATCAAACTTAATTGTATAACCATATATCAAGTTTTGGGAATTGTGAGAGAATTTTCTGAGCCTAGAAATTTTAAGATAGAGTCTGAACTAATAGTCAAAATAATTTTAAAAAATGCTCACTAGATAGCTATTACAAAGCTCTTTAAGTGGCCAGAATTCCAGACATGCCTTTTGATATCTTAGTGTAATGTATTATATTTTGTGAATTATATTATAATTGTACAAATATATATTTTTTAAGACACAGCATAAACTAATAGTCAAAATAATTTTTAAAAATGCTGACTAGATAGCTCTTTCAAGACTCTTTAATTGATTAGAATTTCGGATGCGCCTTTTTATATTCTATTACAGTATCAGATTTTGTGAATTATATTGTAACTTTACAAGTATATGATTTTTTGAAATATAGTATAAACTAATAGTTGAAATAATTTTCACTAGATGCCTATTTGAAGGATCATTAAGTGGTAATAATTTCAGTTGTGCCTCTTTAAATCCTGTTACAGCATATATGATTTTGTGAATTATATTATCATTGTACAAGTAATATTGAATAGATTTTTAAAAGAGATTTACTAGGTACTGTATATACTTAATGGCTGCTTAATTGCTCAAAGTTTTATGCAAGCCTTATTAACTCACATTATCATATATCAGATTGATTTTTGTAAAATATATCATAATTGTATATATAATCAAATTATAAGTATTTGAGCTATGGTAAGTCATTGGCCCGTGTGGTTCGCACACGGGTACTTACTCGTCATACATACCAGGGGGGGTGTTTTCACACAGGACTAAGCGATACTCGATACTTGTAACCACCCCTCCCTGTCCCGCACGAAAACATCGCCCCGGATACGGTACCCGTACTCGCATTTGTGGCATAAAAGCTCTCGAAACCCATCCCCGCTAGCCCTGTAATCTCCGGATTTAGAGACGGAAGCTCCTGAGTCCAGAGGAAGGTCAGCGTTTTACCGACATCGTATAAGACCAGCCCGCTGGATGTGTTGGATCTCGTTAACCGGTATCCGCAATTCCGTTCACCCGTCAAACCAAACCAATTGGGCGGGAACGAGCTCATTTCGGCTGAGTTCGAGTATACAAGTACTCGTATGATGGTGGATTTCAAGAATTTTCTTTTTAACCTCACTCGAGTAAGCACCAGCACTCGTTCATATATGCAAGTATTCGTACGGTACACTGTCCTCATTGATCCCAGTAAAGAGTTGTGTGCACCGATAGGGTGCAAGTACCGGTACCATGCTTGGGTGCCTTCCATAAAGGATTCGGAAAACGTGCCCCCGGCTGAGGGATTTGTGTGGGATCGGCGGAAATGGATCCCTGATTTTCCTTCTCACTGAGACATCCGAGTGCTCGAGCACCCTCCGTACGGGGTGCCGGTGTCATGCCATGCCGACACCGCACCCGGTAGGGAGTTTCCAAGCTTCTCGATATGCTAACAACGCACCGTTGTGTTCTCCAGCTACGATATCGATTCTCAGGTTACCCAGCCAGGATATACCTCCCGGGCTAGAGCGAGTACTGGTCCCGTACCGGCTCGAGAAAACGGGCCCCAAAGACCCCTCTTTTTGTTGAAGAAAGTACGCATACCCTGTACTCGAGTATCATCTACCCTACTCGTACTTGCCTATTCCAAAAGTGTCCCGGGACCTTGGCATTTGCTGTGTCTAAGCCGTGCCAAGATCTCGGCATACTTTTGGAATGGGCAGGTAAGGCACAGTATGTGTGATGCCAGGAACCTTTACCGCTGGCGCTGTACGAGCACAATCACAGCCATTTTCCGCCTTCCCGATTTTTGAGGACAACGATAGCATAAGTTAGTACCGGTGCGTACCGTACCGTATTCTTGGAGCCCGGGTTCGATTCCGTAATTTTCTCCCGGTCAGGTGCCTATCTATCTACGACACGATACGAGTACATTCCTTACCAGTATGCTGTGTGTCACAGCCAAGTGAAAGTGAACATTGGCACTACTTTATCCATGGCAGTTTGAGCAGACATGGGCGTTAGATTATGCGACTCCCCTTTGTCAATAGGACCGTCAATCGCTTGGAAGTTATTGAGGGGGGTGGCTGCGATTGTGATTATGATTTTTGGCTTGGTTTGGCTTGGCTTGCACATGCCAAGTCTTTTTTTTAATATTATTTTTTATTAATTTTATTAAAATGCCTTGGGCCGGAAAATTCCGGTGTGATCAGGGGGTTACATTCTTTGTGGTTTGTTATCGGGCTAGCGGGCGGGGTTTGTGGGTGCAGTATGATAGAGTGCGGCAGCGAGGATCTTGAAGAGGTGATGTACTGTACTCGTACGAGTATTGGATTTTTGAAATAATTATATTATTATTTATATTTCGTGTTTCTATGGCATGTAATGTTTCGGACGGACCAAGGGGCACAAGGTTCCAAGGGTTTGGCTTGACTGTTGTGTGAATAAGTTACCATAAGTTATCATTTATGTAAAAAATGTGAATGCGTGTTGGGGGGTGGGGGGGAAGTTACCCTAACCCACAAGCACTGTACTGGTGGTAATGCCGGTACGTACTGGTATGATCTGGTATTCGGTGATAGGTAACTCATGTGAGCCTTTCCTTCCCACTCTTTCCATGCGCATATTATCCCGAACCGGGTTGGAGTCTTGGGACGTGATGGCGGCTTGGCGAGGCTCGCTGTGACAACCAATAGCATCTGTTGCCTAGCTGCGTCAGTTGGAGGAAAAATAAAAAAATAAAATAAAAAGGGTAAGTTACAGCAAGGTGCTGTTGACGGTTGACCATTCTTCAACGCGCCGTTTTGCGCACCCCAAGCTACTGTAACAGTCAGCCAGTCAACCAACCCGCTCTGAGCCTCTCCCTCTCTCCACCTCGTAGCTATATTGCCGCGTGTCTCCCTCCTCTTCGTCCCCATCCCCTTTCCCATCTACTTCCTCCCTTCCTTCTCCTTCCCCCTTCCCATCCCTACGAGCAAGTGTAACGAGAGAAGTTTGCTTACTCTTCCTTCCACTTTCCCTCCCGTAATATTTTCCTCCTGTTACCGTACTGTTATCACTACCGGTAGCAGCTAGAGCTCTTGGACCTTGCCTCCCCCACACCCCGGCACATCCCCCCCAGGCTTTTAAAGTTTCCCCGGTTTTTTGTTGCTGTTCTCTTTCACACACCTTCCATCGCCCTCTTCATCCATCCATCCATCCGTTTTACTCATTCGTCACCCTCCCTCCGTCCAGTAGCCCTTCATCATGGTTGTTCAAAAGAAGCCTATCCCAACTCCCGCCATTCACAAAAAGGGACCCTTTAATGTTCAGGTCCCCGGTGTCGAGAAGAAGGAAGGCGAGGGAATCCCCCGTCGTCACCCTAGTGCCGTTGCCGAACTGGTATCGCGCCTGGAACCCGACATTGCGACTACCTACGACATTGTCAAGCGTGGTGCAGCAAAATTCGGTGATGCCCAGGCTCTTGGATCCCGCAGCCTTATTCAGGTTCACGAGGAGACAAAGATGATCAAGAGGATGGTTGATGGTGTTGAGCAGGAGGTTCCGAAGAAATGGGCATACTATGAAATGAGCGGATACACGTACATGTCGTTCAATGAATATCTTGCTCGTGTTAACACGACCGGAGCTGCGTTGAAGGCGTTGGGATTGAAGAAGGGCGAGAAACTGCAAATTTTCGCTGCCACTAGGTCTGATTAGCTTTTCGACTGAATTTATTTTTTCGCCTTGTCTGGGTGAATATATTGTTGACTTGATCGCGGATTAGTGCAAACTGGCTTTTGGTGTCGCATGGTGTGTTTGATTGCCCTGCATCCCCGACTGGAATCAACTGCTGACAACTGATAGCCTGTGCATCACAATCGCTGCCAATTGTCACTGCTTATGACACTCTCGGCCAATCCGGCCTCACCCATTCGCTTGTGCAGACCGAGGCAGCCGCCATTTTCCTCGACCCCCACCTTCTCCCACAACTTATTAACCCTTTAAAGGAAGCGGTTAATGTTAGATATGTCATCTACAACACTGATACCCCGGTCAAGCAGGAGGATATCGATACCTTGAAGGCTGCGCATGAGCGATTGCGCATTCTAAGCATTGAAGAGCTTATTAAGCTTGGGCAGGAGAACCCTTGTGATCCTGATCCTGCTGGTCCCGAAGACCTTTGTGGTATCATGTATACTTCTGGGTCAACCGGCACTCCTAAGGGAGTCCCCCTTCTCCACAAGAATGTGGTTGCGGCGGGTAAGCTTTAGTTAGTTTTGTAGTTGGCTTTGAAACGTGGCTAACGATGCGCGATTTGTAGTGTCTGGCGTCAGCGTCATTATCGGCCCCTATGTTGGTCCTGGGGATTTCCTGCTTACCTTTTTGCCCCTGGCACACATTCTCGAGTACGTGTTTGAAAACGCATGTCTATTCTGGGGTGGAACCATGGGTTACGGAAACCCCAAGACTTTGTCGGAGAAATCCATGCGCAACTGCAAGGGTGACATCGCCGAATTCAGGCCGACTATCCTTGTCGGCGTCCCTGCGGTTTGGGAAACCGTGAAAAAGGGTGTCATGGATAAGGTTTCCAATCTTCCTCCATTGACTCAGAAGCTCTTCTGGGGCGCCATGTCGCTCAAGGGCATTCTCCTTCGCTCGGGCCTTCCTGGATCTGGCATCGTGGATCTTATCTTTAAAAAGGTTAGAGCTGCGACTGGTGGAAGGTTAAAGGTTTGCATGAGCGGAGGGGGACCTATCGCCAAAGAAACCCAGCATTTTATTAGTATGACCATTTGTCCAATGGTTATCGGCTATGGGTTGACTGAAACTTCTGCGTAAGTGTCTATTGTTTGTAATATTTTTGCGATCAGGGACTGACTGACGGTTTCATAGCATCGGTTGCCTTATGGACCCAAGTGAATGGAGCACCAATAGTCTTGGGACAATCCCTGCTTGTGCTGAGATCAAGCTCGTAGACTATCCGGAGGCTGGTTACTTCACCCATAATAATCCCGAGCAGGGTGAAGTTTGGATTCGTGGCGATTCGGTCGCATCGTCGTACTTTATGAATGAGGCGGAGACTGCGGCAGCCTATGAGGGTGAATGGTTCAAGACCGGGGATATCGGTGAATGGGATTCGAATGGCCACTTGAAACTCATTGACCGCAAGAAGAACTTGATCAAGACTCTGAACGGAGAATACATTGCTCTCGAGAAGCTTGAATCGGTTTACCGTGCGTCAAGCATTGTTGGAAATATCTGCGTTTATGCCGATGAGCAAAAGACCAAGCCTATCGCTATAATTTTCCCCGTCGAGGCGGCATTGAAGAAGCTTGCCGCCGAGAATAGCGTCGAGGGAGAATTTGAGCAGCTTGTCCACGATGCCAAGTTAAACCAGATTGTTATGAGGGAGCTTACCGCCGCTGGGAAAAGGGGTGGGCTTGCCGGCATTGAGTTGATTGAAGGCTGTGTCTTGACCGACGAAGAATGGACCCCCCAGAATGTGAGTTTACCCCAATGGTCGTATCTGCAAGAGCGATGACTAATGGTTACCGAACAGAGCTTGGTGACTAGTGCTCAGAAGCTGAACAGAAAGGGGATTCTTCAGAGGTATCAATCGGAGGTTAACAGGGCGTATGGAGGTTCATAGATGGATCGTTCACGGATGAAGGTGTGCAGGCAGAACTGTGGTTAATGCTTTGTCTTCTTGTCGTTTTTATTATCATCATTATTTGGAGCTTGATTCACTATCACCCTTTTTTCCTTCTTTCCTCTTTTTCGATAGCGTTGCCTTTTTTTTTAGTTGAGTCCACTTGCGGATGAGCGTGATGATGCTGTGTTGGTGGGCTGATGTGATGGGGCTTTACTTACTTCCCGAGAGTCTGTTTCTGGCCCGGTTTTCACGTTGTCGCGCTTCCCTGATTTATATTCTGAGTAATTGGCATACTTCCGTTTGTTTCAGTAGTCGTTTTCGGCAGCGGCGGGGTGTGGGGGCTTGGTGCTTGTCGGGGGGAGAGGGGAGTACTCGGTATCGCGGGGACATTAAAATTCCGGTAATGGGTGTGTTGCAGTAGTCATTGCGCGTCACTCGGTGGCTGATCCTGCCTCCAGCATGAGGTTGTTAGACTATCGGTAGGGGGACGTGTGGGTACGGGGTGGATGGAGTGAAACTTATGAGCACACAGTACTTGATGCCGGATTCCGCGGCCGGCATCGCGCCGCGGAGAAAGAGTTGCTCTGTAGCGCCCCCTCGGCCCGCCAAAACTATTACTACCACTGTTGGAGACCGTATGATACTGGATTTTTATGGTAATTGGAGGCCGGCGGGTGGGCGCGTAAGTGTGGGTTTCATGCTATGATAGCCAGTTAGTCAGTCTGGTTGTTGTGCCTTGCGTTCCATCCTTGCTGCCCCCTGCCAACAAAACTTGATCAAGGTTTAGCTCCTGCATTCGTTATGAGTGTCTGGCTGTGGAGTGAGTTGAGAGATGGCCGGTACCGTAGTCTGTTCCTATACTGTAAGTGCGGCGTTGGCTGGGTCTGTGGGCTCGGGTTCTGTGTTCAGGGGTTCTGAGAGCTGTGGCACGTGTCTGTATCATACTTTTGTTTATGTACTGTAGAAGGCGGCAAGTTGGGACAATGCGCGCTGTGTTCATTGTTATATTGCTGAAGCTTGAATTCGGTCAGAGGAGGAAGGTGTGTGGTGATGGTATGATATGATGCTGTAATCCGGCTTGCTGGGCGCGGTCTGGGTTTTGGGTAGTATGGTCGGCTGGTGTAGCGCGGGTTTCGTGAGTTGGTTTTGAATGTGGTGGTGGATTCGTAGAGGTGGGTTTGGTCAGGTTTGAGGCAAGCTGTTGGAGGAGGCGGGTTAATGTTCGGGGGTTTGATTTTTGCTATGATACCATACCATAACCGGTCGCGCGCTGAGCTGTCCGCAATGGAGGTCCCGTGTCTGATGATGGTGTTGGAGGGCTTGGATTGGGCGGCGGCGGAGTATTAATTGCTATAGTTGGCTGAGCGGAGTGCGGAATGTCATATCATAAGAGGAGGGAGGCGGTAGGCGGAGAAGGATTCGAGTTGGCGAAGTAACGATGAGAGTGTAGCGGGATTGTTGAACTGGGCGGAGAGGGGGGGGGGGGTATGAGTTGCTGGTGGATTGGGAGGAAGATGCGATGAGGTTATGGTATTATATACCTCTCTCGAAACGCTCATATATCGAAGGGTTTTCGCAAAAGGCGTAGGTAGGCGTAGGCGGGCGGAGTGGAGTGGATGAAGTATTTTAGTTGATTAAACACATACCGGTACCCGAGTACAGTACATACCGGACTCGGGGGAGCAACCTAGAGGCGTGAAAGGAGGAAGCTCTTGCAGGCGTGTTCCAAGGACCAGGCGAATTTTGAAGGTTTGAATGTATACGCCTTTGGCGACTGACTTTTACTATAATACTATCATACGTGTTGTGGGAGAATCCGACCGAGGTTGGAAGTGTAGCGATCGCGATAGATGGTGGTGGTGGTACAGCAGTCTACCGGCAGTCAACTTCCTCCAATGATAGCGTTATCATATACGATACCTGTGGCTAATCCGCCCTGTCCGGCAGATGGCGATGGCGACAGGCGCAGGCGCAGATGACAGCAGCAGGCGGGCCAACAGATATCGTGGGTACTCGTAGATACCTTAGTTTCCAATTCGCACCTATGTGCGCGAGTACTCCACTGCACTCGTACTAGTATCACACTGTAAGATACAGAACTCGCAGGCGTTCTTTCCATCGCCAAATCCTCCGAATCACCTCACGATCGAGTTTGACGGTTTTTCTTTCCTTAAAAAGGGTTTTTGACGATCTCCAACCCTTGCAATATGATGTCATTTTCATCCCCATCCAGCAGGCCGGCCGGCCTGCAGGCTCCTTGTTCCCTGCGGATGTGTGTGGGGGTGGGGTTCCTGGGCACTTTTTTTTTTTTTTTTTTTTTTGCGGGGTTTTTTTTTGCCTGAGGAAGTGCATCAGGTATGGATGATTTGGAAAGGGAGATACGATAGTGTTGGTTGGTTTTGCATGGGTCTATATATTCATCTTTGGCTTGAACGCTGGCGTACGCGAAGACTGGTTTGTGCTGGTTTTGTGTGTGCGGATGAGTACTCGTACTGTACTCGTACATACCGGTATTCGTGCTCTGTGTGTGGCAAAATGTGTTTTTTGTACGAGTAGGGGATAATAGGGTATGCCATGGTACAGTACAAGAGTAAGTATCATACCGGTACTGTAGGTACCGGAAATTGCCGTCATGGGATTTATGGAGAGGAAATCTCTCCAGGGCGAGTAAGTATCTTGGCATGCTCAACTGCGAAAGCTAAAGGCGCTTCAACACCGTGGGAGGAAAGAAAGAAAGAAAGAAAGAAATCGTTAAAGGGGTGGGGATTGATTATTTTAAGTGCTGGACGTTGATTTGCGCTCTGGTACTAGTGCATACCCCTACTGTACCACAAGCATATCATATATACCAGATATCTCCCCCGTTCTGAATGAGGAAGATGTCAAGAAAATTATCATAAATGTCCACTCACTCGCCATACTGTTATGGTGATGAATGAAATAAGTCGGCCTTCGACGCTACTCCAATCACACATCCTGCGTGTTCTCGTGCCGTAGTAAGGTGAGTGGGGAATAAGAGGAGAAGGTTGAGTTGGACCTGCGAAGACCGGTTTATAGTTAGGACTTGTTTCCTCTGATGTGTTTTACTTTTCCAGCAGAGTACCGGGTACTAGTCTATAAAGACTGGGGAGGGATGCCCGCCCACTCTGAATATCATACCTATAGTCATCGGATCTCGATCCTGTCGAATGAATGTTTGTTCGTAGGGGGATATAGAGACCTAGTTTATTCGGGTAAGGAGTGTGAGAGGATCGGCGGGCTCTCTCCGAAAGGCGTGGACCGGATTGGACTGGCCGGGATTTATGTGTGAGCTGCAATGGCAGCAATTGGAGGTGCAACTCACTACAGGTAGTGGCTTGGAGTGGCTTGCCTGACTTGGTTCATCTTGACTGCATACTCGAGTACGACGAGTACTGAATGTTCCATCCTAGCTTGTGTTATGGTGTTGGTTGGGGGGGGGGGGGTAG